ATGATTAGCAAAAAAAAAAAACAGAATGAACTGGTTTAATCCTGCATTGTTTTATTGTTGCTCCAAAATTACATAAAATTAGTGATTTTCAATTAGTGACTTTATAACTGGTTAGTGACATTTGAATCATCGGTAAAAGTTACACCAGTTCCAAATAGTTGTGTAAAAGTTATTTAATGATGAACATGTCTACTCATGCGCAAACGAACTTGGGAAACAACTATTTCCTCCCACATGCGATAGCTCCGGATTCCTTAAAGACTGCCCGTGGCTTGTAAAATTCGTTGATTGATTTAGAACCCAGTTGTCATGACGGGGCTCCAAATGATTGTAATGAGGGATTGAGATGTACTGCTTTGAGTACATGAACGCCAACTTTTCCAGACTCCATGGACTTTGAACCACTGCCCGTGGTGCAAATTGATGATTTTGAGAAATATATACTCATTAAGCTAGACGCACACGACGAAAGGAAAGTGCGTAAGGGAAATGCCACGCGAGTCGCTTTGAGCAGCGTGTACGCACCAATTCTTTTGCTGTTCACGGAGAGCAAAACACTGATCAAAAGCGACTTTTCCTTTATGTACTTTCCTATCGTGTACGACGGTGATATTTTCAATAAATTTTCTTTTTTAAACAAATAGATTTCCTTAAGTTTAATTGTCAAAAGTATTTGAATCAAAAGTACATACCTCCGAGACGACGCTACGAAACGGGCCATCAAACACGTAACTGGTGCAGTTGTTGCAGCATTTGTTGGGAGGACATGTCGAGTTTGTGTCTTCACAGTGAAAGTTGGGAGTACCGTACACGAACAGCAGAGCACCAAACTGACTTGAGTATAGCATCACCAGACACCCAGACGCGAACAATACAATCTTCTGATATCGACCAAATGAGTGAACATATCGCTTGAATAAGTCGTCATATTCGCGAATCTCATCTTCTGTCGTTTCCTGACCTTCTCTTTCCGCCATGTTCAGGATCGATTTTGACCCTAGACAGTAAAGCGTATAAATTACTTGTTGGTATTGTTAAGAACCGTTGAAATGTTAAACCCAGTTGGCCTAATAGGGGCCCTAAAGCGACTAGCCTCCGCGTTTATCGTGATAGGGAGTCCTTGGTTCAGTTACTAGTCCAGTAACATTATTTTCTTTCATTTCGTAGACATAAAGCATCCCTCTTCCTTGCATTTAAAGAAAATCGTGAGATATATTAGGACTTTGTGTTATAATGCTACATAAGTGCTGCACTTCAGAACGATATGTTGCATGACTTCGACAAATATACAGACTTTACGCGGGGCGGCTGAGTGTTCACATAGAGCTCTCATATGCGTATAAACTGGAGAGCCACTGACAAATTTCAAAGATCTCACGTTTAAAAAAAAAAAAATTAAACTTAGGTTACTTATAGAAGGTGAAACTACTGAGGAAAACTATTTTGAGCTTAGAAGATTTCTACTGAATCAGGCCATTTTGCGTTGAATAACTTGCGCTCCGCTTCTTCTCTGGCGAAAGGTATCTTTGAATTGAATATTGTTTTACTGGATAAGTTCTTAAATAGTTCTAATATTCTGTCAGTTTATATTGGCGTTTAGCCTTTGGGCATGTAATGTATTCACCTCAGGCTGCGCTTAAGGCCGATAACCTTGGCATAGTAGTTTGATGTTGATCTTATTACCTTGACTGATGTCTTCCTGTTGAGCTCTTTCGAGGAACAATAAGCCAAACGTTTACGTTATATAACGTTGCGTATATAAACGGGATCCAATTAGATCTGTAGAATATTAGTAAGTTTGTTTATCCGTCTATTTATTTAGGGCGTAAAAAATATTTATCGACTTAACCTTCAGCCGTTTTAGATTTCATGTCATGCAATTCGTTTAAAATCTGCACAATGCGTTGTAGTACGGCCTACCACTTTAAAATGTGCGATTTTGAAAGTTCGTCTCTAGGATAACTGCCTGTAAAACCAAGTTGTTTCGTACTTGATAGCTAATATTTTCTATTGCATTTATCAATAACAATATACTGTAATTGAAATCGTTTACATTTCAGTATAAAAGAAGATATTTCAATGTGGAGGGAAATTCCGATGTCAGCTTGAGATGGATGCGACGTATCGTGGGAGAACCACGCGAATAGCAAAGCCCTTGCCAAGGTGCTGAATTATTCAATCACAAGAGTAATAAAAGACTCAAATACTGAGGATAGACACCAACAAGCTGAAATATAAAGAAAGAAGAAAATGAGCTGATAAAATGAGAATAAGCCAAAAAGAAACCAATACTGAAAAAAAAACAAGACAAAAGAAGCAAATCGTTCAAGTTACGAGACTTTCCGTAGCCGAACTAACGGCTGCTTTCCGTTATCAAATTGAAGATAGCCTGATTCACGTTCCTTGAGAAAGACGTTCATGTCAGGAGGCGTCAACCCGGTGATTTGTTTAATCCTCTTAATTGCTGTATAGTGATCTATAATGAAAAACATGTCCGTATATATATCACACCATTTTGCTTCTGAGCATTTAAAATATCGACGACTAATAGAAGTCTTATTCAGATATTGAGAAGTTAACTAAAGTTTAGCCTGACATGGATTGGAAAGGCCATCATCAGCCTCTGTGATTCACTTATATCAACCCTTTCTAGTTGTTCTGTTCGGGGTTGGTAACGTTACCTGATATATGTACTTATTCTAAGATTATCCTATAATTATCTATACCGTCACGATAATGCGTTCCCTTTTAGATCGTGCGTCAATGAATAAGTCAATGAATAGTCAATTTGCGAATTTCGTGTCAGTAGTCAAACACGTCAAGACGAGTCGCCGTGCCTAAAGCTCAGTTAAATTTGAAAAACTATTGTGTTTTCACAAATGATCGACTGAGCTTTATGCACGGCGCCTCGTCTTGATTCCTTTGTGTGTGACTACTGAAGCAAAATTCGCAAATCGACTGTACACAATCTGGAGCGCAAAGTTTTTTACGGCTTGTTGACGCCGCAAAGGTGAATCCACTGAATTTGGACGCTTTTCCGTCGCAAATTAGGTATATTTTGTTTTCCTTTAGCATTAGAGCTTTAGCGTGAATTAGGAATAGTACTTACACCTTTTTAAGAGGGTCTCAATGGGGTTAACCGTGAGCCGTGAAACGGTTGAAAAATTAGCCGTGAATCGTGAAAATGAGAAAAAATTATCCGTGAGGCGTGAAAAAGCCAAATTTTTAGCCGCGAGTCGTGATGCGGACATCCCCCCCCCCCCTTGAGACCCACTTGTAGTCTGTCTGACAGGGCAGGGTCCATGCATCGGTCATGGAGCATGTCTAAGTCCTGACAAAATGGCAGAACCGATAGTGAAAATAGTTTCATAACAATAATAATCATTATAAAAAGACAAGCTGTAGTGGCATTCATCACCAATTTGCCTATATAATAGAAAAAGAAAAGGAGTCTCTAGTACTGATGCTTTAATCTCGATTCAAAACAGAGTCTACAGTCACCTTGACAACCCCGACTGCAACTTGAAAGCGGTACGCGGTATTTGCTATGGATTTTAGTAAAGCCTTCGACTCTATCAAACACTATTTGCTAGCTGAAAAGTTGAAATGTCTGCACCTCAATCCCTATATAACAAATTGGTATTTTAGCCACAGGGGGCCCAGGCTAAACGGTTGTGTTGTTTTCACGGCGGAGTCAAAGTATTAATTGCGTAAATTATTTATTTACGAGGGGGGAAAATATTATTCTGGCTTCAAAAATCAATCTTTATTCATAAAGCTGTTTATACTTATTAAAGAAAAAAGAAAAGAAAGAAAAAGTCTTGAAAAGTCTCAAGAAATGAAGTAGAAAACATTTACGGCTTCACGAGGGCTCGAACCGCGAACCCCGCAATTAATACTTTGACACCGCCGTGAAAACAACACAACCGTTGAGCCTGGGCCCCCTGTGTTTTAGCTTCCTCAAAGATAGACTGCAAAGAGTAATTCAAAATGAAAAAAAACGTGCGAGTGGATAGCGGTGAACAAAGGTACCACTCAAGGAAGCYTCAGTCGCCCTCATCTTTTTAACATCTTTATGAATGACCTTGTAATCTTTCACGATTCAACCACGGCTCTTATCAAGTATGCTGATCAAAATTTCAACTTGAAAACTGACGAAAAATTTTTGGAGCGGCTGGCTAATACCCCTCCGCGGCGGACGCTATCGCGTCACGTGGTTGTTTCTCCACCGATGAGAGCGCAAGAATATTTGTTGCTGAATCATATTGTAAGGTAAAGTGACATACTCTGTCATTCTTGCCATTACACTTCATTAATTTGCCAAGGAAATACCGTAATTAATAATGCAAAATTAATAGTAGTAGCATTTTTTTGGGGAAATTCTCCCATTAAATGTTACGAAGACTAGATGCTTGTATTTAATGAAATCGTAAAAATCAACAGTGAAAAATAGCTAGTGGTAGTAGCGAGCGAAATTGCGCGCGTGCAACAGTTTGTTACTTGTATTTCACCATTAGAAGCGTGCAGACCGACCTCCCAAGGGGAAAAGACAATATCATCAAAATATTATTTAACGGCAGGGGAACAATACCCAGCATCACAATCATTTTTAAAATTCATTTCTGAAGTAGTGATTTAATCAATCAAACCCCCCCTCCCCCTCACCAAAAAAACGCTCACTGAGTGACTAGCTGATTTACAATGAACAATTGATAGTAACTGTCAAGGTCATCTTCTGAAAGTTTTTATTTTCATATGGTTTGTTTAGATGAGATGGTATGCCCCTAGGTAAGTTGGGCATGCTCTTCAATTCCTAGTGAAACGAAAACAAAAGAATTAGGTCTCCTGAAACAAGTTTGATGTTCAATGAGTTTTAAGTACAACCAGAAAAAAAAATGATGGGATTGATTGAGTTTCTGGTAAAGTATAACACATTGACCCATCTGCACTGAAGAACACTAAACCAAAAAAAATCTTTATACGTTATACGTAAAAAAAACTTAAACCTAAAAATAAACATTGTGAAAAAATCTTTCCAAAACTGAGAAATTTATCTCTACGCCATTCAAAACTTTTCCAGAGAATTCATATTAAATTAGTCCTACTTCGTAAACGGACTTTGATGTTGTTTAGCTGTTTTAATTGAAAACATTTAGTTCAATTAGAACACGCTCCAGGCTATAAATACGACTTTGAATAGAAAAGAGTTGAAGCGTTGAATTCGCTACATTCTTGAAAGCCAGTGAGGCCAAAATACAATTCGAGTGCATAGTTGAAGTTGTATCTTTTAAAAAATACACTGACGATGCTGTCGTCACTGGACAGCTAATGATATTTAATTAAAGCAAAGCATTGGTTTAATGTAAAGTGCACTTCTCCCTTGAGAATTGGCACTACACAAAAGATGCTTTTGACCATTTTTAGACCACAAAATTCAATCAATTGTTCCTGATATGGCTGGAATCCTAAAATTGTTCCAGTAATCACTCAAACATGTAATTCTAAGTGTCGCACTTCGAGTTGAGGTCGAGGTTAGACAGGATTTTTTTCAACTGACTCACTTCAAACCCGACAGCGAAAAATACACAGCAGTTTCACAATGGGGCTAATGAGTAAAAGCTTTTTTAGACGACGAAGACAAAAAAGCAAAAAGAAACTCAGTGATTCTTTAGCTTCTTTGGACAGTCTTCAAACACAGGTAGACGAAACTTTGCGCTACGAAGATCAACTACATTTACAACGCGACGAAACTTTACAACGACTGCAAAATGCGTCGCAAGCAAAAAAGGACCTTGTTGAAAGAATCAGAGAGAAGTCAGAGAAACTTGCCAGGCTCAATGACAAAATCAATCAGACAAATGTTGCGTTGACAAAGARTAGAGAAAGAAATTCTCAAAATGAAGAAATATGCCACCAACTTGAATTATTTCACAAGGAACTACCGACCAGAATGTGGACACTTCAAGTCCAACTAAGTCGAGCATTTCGCGCCATAGAACAAGCAAAAAGGAATATTTCCACTGCTTTTTCTAAACACCGTCGCTGTCGCGAGGAACTTGAAAACAAGAGAGAAGAAATCTTACGGAAACAAATTCAGATAAAGTCTACAAAGGAAAAGATTGCTGGAATGAAAACAAAACTTCAAAACGCTTACGACTGCAAAAAAGTTAAGGAATTTGAACAGAAGTCTTTGGAGTCCATGATTGTTTATGTGATGAACATGAACCTTCGCGCTGTAAACAGTCGTTCAAAAATGATAGAACGTCGTGGACAGCACTTGGAAAGAATGCTTCAAAACATGAACAGCGAACTTCGACAATACAAGTCTTGTCTAGATGATCTTAGAATTACTTCACACAGGAAAATATCAGACGAGAAAACATTGAAGAGATGTAAATCCTTCCCGCAGAGAATCAACAAATGCCTGGAAATATCTGTTGTATTGGGTGACTTGTAACACCGCAAAGATTATACAACAATGTGTCTTTTAAAGATACCTCTAATAGTTTTCAAATGAACAAGACTGTAAAAAAGGAAAAGAGAAACAGCTTTAATGCTTTATCTTAAAAACTGACCCTCTTTTGACGTTTAGAAATCCAACCTTGCTTGTAAACAAAATGTCATGGTGCGCGTTTCACTGTTAGCCGATTGTTTCATCGCGTGATTATTTCTCTAGCGTAACAATTTTGTTTTTAATACGCGATCTTTTCGCTGTAAAATATTCATTATTTGGCAAGCGTGACTAAGGTGCATATATTAAAGATTTGAAACAGTAGCGACGTCCAAGTGTCAGTCCTTATCCCGAGTCCTTATCATAACAATCTCCGTTGGCCTGTATTCCACCCTTTCTTTCATAAATGGCATTCCGGGCATTTAGAATATTGTCTTTGCAGCGATAGCCTATAACACCTTATGCATCTTTACATGTCTAGCCATTATGGGTTAATAAATCAAATTTTCAAAATGCTCAACATACTTAGATATATGACAAATTTAATTTAAAACAATATAAAATGAGTAAATGAAAACTAATAATAAACTGAATTAGAAAACAAAGGCATATTTTTCCAACTAAAAACATTTAACATTTTATTAACACTTGCTATTTTCTGTTCAAAAATCTTAAAACAAATTCCAGTAATTGAACTTTACTATGTTATTTGGATATTAAGTATTATAATTTTTACTAACCAATAGATATCTGTCTTTTCCTTCGCCGTATGATTGATGTCTAAGTCCTAACTCAGAACTAAGTTTGTGAACAAGAGCCCTGTCTTCCTTACCAAGCTCAGTTGAGAATTTTAAGTCCATGTTTGATCCATTAATAAAATCCATTAAAAGTTGTTTTATTGATTGTCTGTGTAGATCTTGTGGTGCATTGCCCTGGCCAAGTCCTTTCTTACCATCAGTACCAGTAACCATTACTGGTTCAGCTCTTCCTTGACATTCTTTTCCTGTAAAGCGATTTTAACAGCAGAGCAATAACATGAGTAAACAATATTTGTGATGTAATTAATATTTGCATAAACAATATATCCATGAAATTGGCACAGGCAGCCCAAGCTTATCAATCATCACAGAAATCCACAAAAATCGGAAGTTTAAAACATGATTTTTTCCCAATGACCCTTCTTGTCATTGATGACCTGTAACTGATAACTTAATTAATATTTGGAAAATTGGCTCAACCTTATCAGATGATGAATGCCGCTATCATGTTTGTTTTAGAGAAATTTGTCATGGTGGCACTAATAATGGCACAAAGATAGCCAACGTCTTTTAAAAACCATGCAGAACAGAGTGTCTTTACAAAATGAAAGTCATCTTTTCTTCAGAAAGTTTTGGAAGAACATTAAGATGTGTAAGGAATAATGATTGTTGCAGTTAAATTATAATAATCTAAGTGATTACTAATAAATGGATCGCTTGAAAAAATTATGGGCTTCAACGGGAATAAACCCATGACCTCTGAGAATACAGTGCAGTGCTCAGTGAAGCTGCAGTTTGTACTATCATTTCATCATCAATTAAGATGTCTAAGTCTGAGAAGAAAGAAGCAATGTTTATTTATAAATAAAGAATAAACATGGCTGTCAGTTTGTAATTACATCAATCTCATAGTGCATCTTGCCAATTTTTACACAACGACATAAGGGGAAAGGATAATCAGAARGATAATCTTTGTGTCGTGRATAATGCACCTATCAATGTCTTGCCCCAATGGGGGGAGCCACGGCGCACACAGGCTATTGACATACGAACCTAGCCCCTGACAGTAGCTGTTAGACTTTTATTGATACAGGAATCCCCCCAGGGTAGGGCTTATTGACAATTTCATCAGACTAAACATTTTAGAATGTTATTTCATTCACTTACAACTGCAGGAAAAATTGTTAAACATGCGTTAGTCCAGGATTAACTCCATAGGTTTTTTAAAGAATTAAACCAGGGTCAACTTTCATTGAGCTTTGAGCAATGTGGTCCTGGTGTACTTTACATAAAATTGTGTACCAAGCGAGAGGCCTATTGTCATTTGATGTAGAATTTAAGAGGGGCTCATTGACATTTTTTTTTTTAATTTCAAAAGCCCTCTGGTATGCCCAGGCTCCCCCCGTTGGGGCAAGACATTGATAGGTGCATAAGCTTTTCTTTGATCCAACCATATTTGGAGGCTCAGCTGTACTTACCTACACCACCCACTCCACTCCAGCCCATCTTACGCAACAACTTATTGCCTAAGTTACTATCTGGTATACTGGGTGCATTCACATAAGCTTGTTTAGTAAGWTCTGTCTTGGTAACAYTTTGCGCAGCGTCATGGTCAATTTTTCTTTTCTTTATAACAGGTTGACATGATCTTAAAACTTTAAGAGCATTTTCTGCAGCTACTCTTTTTGCGTCTTTTTTCGTTGCAGCTTCTCCTGATGCAACGAGAGTTTTTTCGATGTATACTCCAAACGAAAAATGACTGCTATTGGTTTTAGTGTCTTCTTCAAATGAAATAGATTTTTTGGACTTTTGAGCACTTTCATGTAATACAGAGATTGCGTTTTGAGAGTTGCCATCGTCATTGGGTTCATAAATTACAAAGTTTTTTATTAAGTTACTTGATGTGTTTGTTTTTTGTGAACTTGATGGTTGAAATTCAACTTTTTTGGAATATTGACGTTTTAGTAAATGCTCTGGTATACCAGCCTTCGATTCCAAATCTTTAACTAATTTTTCGACCTCTGTTGGATATCTGCAGCCCCAAAACTTCATATTTACCCAAACCATAGACAGTGATTCCAATCTATCAGCTGGAAACTTGTCTTTCCATGCAGAAATAAATTGTAACCGTGCTTGTTTTTGAATATCGGTTTCCCA